AGGACCCTGCTAGATGCTAATTTGCAAATAGATTTATCTCTCTGTGTTCACTTGCTCTACAAGTCAATTTACTGCACCCATCAACTTTTTCCAACTAGTTCTGTGCTATCCTTTTGCTTGCTTTCAGCCAGATCGGCGTTGAATGTCTCAATTTTCTTCCTTCTTGGCATCCAAGTACAGAAAGTGTAATCCGTTTAGAGTATCACTTTCGATGGTGACTGCCCAGATCTCAGTAGGATACTTTACCAAAGTCAAAGGCAAAGGAGATGTGCACAGAACATAAATACAAAGGATTGCCTTTCAGAAGGTTCGGCAAAATTTTGAAAGGCCCCAAACTATCCTTCTCTTCTGTACAGCTGAAGGAAAAGAGGGTGCCAACAAAAGCTGTAATGATAGCTTGTTTATGAAGGAATGTCTAACAGCTGGTTGCTTCTTGATGTGCAAGAAGCTGACCAAGACTGTAGGCAAACGTGGACACCCAACGCCTGAACCCCAGCAGTCTATCCATATGAATATGCACACTGCCAGTTATACTGGAAGATAAACTGGTAGGCATTAATTTTTAATAAAAAGCATTTGTTATTGCTTGCTGAATTATGTTGCATTCATCCCAGTCTCCTTCCAGGACTCTGTCTTGGCCTGGCTGAGCCTCTGAATAGTGTGACTTTTTCCCTGGTCTGGCTGTCACTCTTTGCTTTCATGGGTTGTTCCCTTATATTGCTGTCCTTTACCCTGCTTGTGGTAGCCTCCTGACAGTACCAGATTTTTTTTTAAAAAAAAGGAAGATACTTATTCATCAAGATGTGTGTATTAAAAATGGAGAATCTGTAGTTCTATCTGGGTATATGCAGCATTTTGATCATGCAGGAAATGAATTCACTTCATCGGTTCAAAATTCATCAAGGTGTTTTTTCCCAGTAGACCTTAGCCAGGCATCTTTATTGGCGTAAATCATAGTAATGCTTTTTATATACGTAAAATATTGTCAACATGTTTTTCATTCTATCAAAAAAAACATAGTGGATGAAAATGCAAATGGTACTTTGGCAGTACATTGTATCAAGCAGTTTACAACAAACAAACCCTACCAAAATACCTAAATGTTTTTTGCAACATATTGCAACACAGAAATAAGTTAGACCATGTAGTCCCCAGGGAAAATAAAAGTACGTGGGAGACCCAGTCTAGTAATTTTGGAACATCGGCTCTGCTAAGTCTCCTTGACTCCTCAACTTAGTTCCCACAAACACCCACATAAATTCCAAAGAGGTACCATTCCGTTAAGTTTTGGCAAAGCAATTCTGAAGGGATTTCCTTTCACCTACCAAAATAAGTATTTTTGTCTTTGGTTGTGTTATGCAGAGCTAGAGTGTGTTCTTTTGTGTTAGAACTGGCTGCAGCTGCTCGCTGGAGTGTCTGCCAGATTCTTCCCTTTCAGGTATCTAATTTCTGATTTGAAAACTGATCAGCAATCCAGTATGCAATGAGTCTGTAACAGTTTCTGTAGCTCTGTGTAGCATTTTAGGAATCTATTGATCCTAATCCAGAAATAAATAAAAGGAAAAGTGGAAATGGGAGAAGGCTTTGGCAATTGCATCCTGAAATGACAAGAGTGGGGATGGAAGTGCCCCCATAATTTGAGGGGGAATTTTCATGTTTCTTATATGAAAATTTATCTCAGTATGGCATTTTGCAGTCAAGAGAAGGAAAAAGACAGAGGAAACAGGCTAAAAATAATCGTTTTGATAAATTAAAGATTAGCATAGGAATATTTGCTGCAGCAGCACTAGGAATAATGAAATAGGACTTGACTAAATAAATGGGCAGGATAGAGGTGAAGATAACTGATGGAGATTAATGCACTAACGTAATCCCTGGAGAAAGTTTTACCCAAAGTGCTGTTCTGCTTCCTTTTTGGCTGCCACCTGCCACATGTGAACGAGTCACTGTTGTTTTGTTCTGCAGCTGGGGAACAAGCTCTGTTGGGAACAGCAGCTTACAAGTCCTCTGTTGCATCTTTTGGACTGACAGGGAAAACGGGAATTCAGCTGTGGGGACTGAACTCCTTTATCCCCTCTAATGCCATGTGCCGTACCAATCTCTAGAATTTCCAGGAAACCACAGAAAAAAGTGTTGTTAGTATGAGTGTCATACCGTCATTAATGAGCCAAAGGTTCCCAAATTTTACAGGTGTATGAACAGCAGAGAACTGAAATACTATTCTCCTGTTTACACTTTTGTCACTTTTTGCATTGTTTACAGTGTCAAGACAATGGACCCACTTTTTAGTAAGATTCGGTTTTGTTGTGATTCATCATTTGCCAATGAGTTGTATTTGTGAGGGTTTTTTGCATATCTAAAAGGATTACTGAAGTGTGTGTACCAAGCACCACAGGTAAATGCTCCATGGACCTTGGGATTAAAATGGGCTACAGTTAACCCAGGAGGACAAGGTTGAACATTTACAAAAGCGTGCGCAAAAAATGAGGAACAGTAAGGCACAGTCTGCACAGTTTGACCCGTGTTACTTTATTTAAAATTCATACAGGAGAGGTACAAAACCACTGCCTTGCATCAGAAAAAAATTAAGCTCAGCCTGACATACGTTGGTCCAAAACAGACACAGGACTTTCCATTAAAGTAGGTTCAGAAGGAATCCTTCATCAAATATTCCTTGAGGCTGTTGCTTAAAAGCGTATTTTGTGAGCTTCCCAAGAACTCCCATGAAAATCTTTCTTTGTTTCCCTGCCTTAGTGATGATCCTTTGACAGCTTTTACCGTTGTGCTGAATGGAATATGTGTTTGTCATTTGACGCGAGTGTTAGGCAACTCACCATGCCTTACGGTTTGTTCTTATGATCACCTTTCTCAGAAAACATGCTTACAGTCTCTTTGCTATTGCAGTCGATAAACCAAATATAAAACCTTTCTTACCTGTAATGGTAAGGTGACTTAAGAGGAGAGATGCTGATAGCAGAGTAGTAGAACTGCTGTCAGTCTCTGCATTATTGGCCATTCCTCCTTTCAACTAGGGAAAATGGAAAGATTCGATAAAATTCTGCGTTGTGAATTCATCTAGACCAACTCTTCCAGTGTAGCACAGCAAATACCCTTTTCTGCATATAAACTGTAAGGCAAATGATCAGATTGTGGAGTTTGTGAGTTGGGTGTGATGGACCTTTAGGTAACATGCCATGCTGTCAACAGTGATGTTAGGGCTGGCATACTGCGCAAGCTGGTGGAAGTTTATTTTTAATAGCAGCATAACTTACTGCAATAGAATTAGCAGCTGTTATGCCTACAGCATATTGCTGAGTAGCTCTTGGTAAGAAATCTCCCACATTTCTAGGTAGATGATGTGGCCGTATGCTTCTAACGTATGCCTTGAGTTGTCATGGCAGTGGAGTAAGTTGCATGCAGATTTCCCAGTGTTATTTTCAGTTAGCAGCCAGAGTTGCTATTCTTTTCTAAACCTCTAGCTTTATACTCTGGTGTTAATCAGCTATTCCATGTTTAGGAAAATATGTCTCAGAAGTCACTTCACAGAAACTTCTGGAGTTTCTGGTTGTTGTGCTTTTAGACCTTTGCGGTCTATTTGTTTTCTCCTCTTGGTCTAGCTATAGAAGAAGAAGGAGATGCTATAGCAGCTGCTCCTGCTGTTGCTGAAAAATCTGCAGCAACATCTGCATGGTAGTGTCAATGGTATGGTTGTAAAGCTGATTGGTGCCTAATTGCCTGTGTCGAGTGCATTTCATTACAAGAGGCTGTAGGTACCTGGTAGTCACAGCTGCAGTGGGGAATGTTTGGCCCGCAGGTTTTATTTGAAGTTTGAAGATGGCATTTCTTACCTGAAAGAGGTGAACTGTGGGAGGTTAAGTGAGAAGTTATGGAATATTTTCAGTTTGATTCTTTCATGTAGAATACAATGAGTGGCTTCTAGTTATTTACTTGTGTACCTTATGGACCAGTCCTTTAATGTGTTAAGTCTAGCATTTGTGGTAAGTGAGTGGGGTACTTGCTCAGAATATTAACCATATATGCACTGGATACTCCCTCTCTCTTCTTCTCTCTCCTTCCCCACATACAGCTTTTAGCACTAATGTAAAAACAAAGACATCAAGTGAGGAAAAAGTTGGCTGATTTTTTTTGGCTGCAGTTACCATTGCCAAGTTATTAGGAATCAGTTTGCTATGTCTGTAAATTTAAGTATGTATATTTCTTATTTCATAACTTAAAATAAACAATTTTCTTTTTAGTGCTTGCTTGATGCTTATTTATTTATTTATCTTTCATATTAGGTTAGCCTACACAAACCAGAAATTAAACTGGAATCACTAAAAGAAGATATTAAGGATTTTCTGAAGACGTCAGGTTTGTAATACTTCATTTGTGGATAATATAGGTCTGTGTAAAACATATGTGACACACATGATGAAAGTAGTAGTTTGTGCAGCTTGGTATCTTGTTGCTGACAGTAGCCAGAAGTAGACATTCAGTGATTCCAGATTATTAAATGAGGGAGAAAATTAAAAGGGAAGAAGTTCTTGGACTGCAGCAGCATTTTGAAAAACATACTATGCAAAGAAGTGATTTTGTTATTTTATAAAATTTTTTTTTTAAGTTCTGAATGATACAGGAGTTCGTTCACTTCTGAAAATGCAAATTAACATTCATGGAGGTGCTCTTGAAAATTTTACCCTTAGTTAAATTTCCGATTTCTATTGGAAGTTGTAACCTATGTAACTCTATCATGTGAAAATTTGAGAAGAGATTTAAGATTTATAATCACTAAGAACACTGCATCTATTAATATTAATATCTATTATTAGGTTAATATTAAGCTGTTTTAATAATATGATGGCTTTGGAAACAATAGCATATAACATATAATTATTTAACCAAAATAATAACCAAAATAACTCTATTGTAATCATTTAAACAGTAAATGAAAATAAAGGGTATTCAACCTTTATACAGACCTCAGCTTGGAGTTTTTCATATCTTAATTAGGTTAAGGTTTTTTCATCCCTTCCTGTCTGTCTGGTGGGTAGACATGAAGAGACAGGGCAGAAAACACCAGTAACTCTAAAGCAACTTCTGATTCATGGTCTGTTAGTATTAATTCCTAAAGTTGTCTTCTGGATATTCTCTTATTTTAACAGGTTGGGAGAAGAAGCTTCAAAATGCTGTTTATAGTGAACTCAATGTGTAAGTTTATTTAGTATTTTTATTAAATAAGTTCTACTTGCATGATCTACTTTTGATTCCTTTGTATATATAGGTATGGGATGTGTTACTATTATCTGCAAGATCTGTCATACCAAGAGTGCCTGCTTCATTTGTGTTTTTTAAGTGCCGTTATTTCTTTTTCATCCTAGTGAAAATACTGTACCCAAGTACATTTTAAAGAATGAGTGAAACAAATATCACCAAATTTGTAGTTACGTTTATAATTTCTTTGTTCTTTTAATTCCAAAGGTACCAACAGCCATAATATAATTCTTGTGTCGTTTAGGTAGTTATTGTAAATTAAATTTAATAATTTCAGATGTTTGTGTCAACATTGCACATATTTGTTGTATTAATTATTTTTTAAAAATCTTTAAGATATTAGATCTCTAGACTTACCAGATATGTGCTCACCATGCTTGGGATATGGTCATAAATACGCTGAAATTTGCGAAATTCACTTTTTATTGTTCAGCTCACTTCAGATTAGACTTCTGGGAAGCATGAATTGCCTTTACATTCTGGCGAAGTGGAAAGGTGTGAGTTTCATAACAGATATACAGCCCTAAATGCAACTACCTAGTAAGAATTGTGTATGCAAATTTGTTTGTGCTAATTTAAATAAGCTTATTAGAGTTACCAGTTTTGAACAGTGTGTCTTAGTAGTATGAGGGACTCAATTGAGCAAAATACTTGTAAATGTATCTGTTAGTAAGGATTCACCTATATCATATCTTTCAAGGGAAAAATATTTACCTGCCTTTTGGACTAATGCTTATGCATTCTTTGAGTTCACGGAAATAAGCTGCAAATTATAATGAAGGTAGTCCTGGAAAATTGAAATTAACTAAGAATAACATGATTTCGTAAGCGCTGAGGAAAAGCCAGGAAACAGCTGGCTTTTTTTTGCTGAAATCTGTATCGATTCCATTTTACACATAGGCAGAGAGTTGTCCAGAGCAACTTAGTGGCAAGTAATGACCTTAGCAATTAAAAATGGGAGGAAATTTGGGGAGGGCTTCCCAAAATCATATGATAGGAACTGATGGAATACATTTAAACAAATTAAAATTCAGGCTAACTGTAAGAGAAGCGTTGTGTAAATTTTGTTTCCTGAAAGACATTTGAGACTTAAAATTAAGCTGGATAAAATGTTTGGCAATAACTCATTGGAAATAATCTGCACTGCTGGAAGGTAAACTAGTGTTTTGGTTTGTTGTTTTAATTTTTGTTCCAGCTTTTATATTTTGGCTTAACTCAGTCTATGAATGGATATTCAACTTTGCTTACATCAATACCACAAAATTCTAACTGCTTTGGACATGTACTTGTTCACTATTGATTTTTAAAAAGAAATCCTCAAAAAAAATATATTGTCTCTTGAAAAAAATATAATGTTCTAGACAAGTAAAAGTTCTAGGGAGTCATAAGGATGACATGATGCGAAGAGGATACCCTTTTTAAATACCTTGATTTATTAATAGAATTATTTGAGTTTATTTTACAAATATGTGAAATTATGAGGAAGTATTATTTTTAATATAAAAACTCCTCATGTTGAAATGTTATTAATACTTACATATCTTTATATCATTTGTATCCATAGGAAAGGATGAGGAAGAAATACTTCTAAAAATAATGTTTATTTTTACTTTTGATCAACATACACAGTGGTTTTACTACTGCTGTCATGAAAGAAGTTATGTTTAGGTTTACAAATACAGAATTAATTAAGCAAAATAAAAATCTGAACATTTAAAATACACTATATTTTCTTTAAGGTTTCCTTCGCCCTGTCATCCTGCAGCACCACCTGAGCATATGAAAGAACCGTTAGCTTATATGAGGAAAGCACAGGTTGGTTATTATCAATTTTACTGTTCATATCAGATCTTAGATTAGACTGAGATTTACTCTGTATAATGTTATTGTACAACTTCTAGGTTTTACACCTTAGGAAAAACACAAATTTGTAATTGCATCGAAGTTAATAATAATGTTGTATATGTGACATTTTACATACATACAAAAAATGCTCAAGTAATTCTCCAACCATGAAAGTAGTAGGATAATGGTGGTAGGTAAGTAAATATTGTAGAATAGAGACAATGTGAAATATGTCAAGGAGGAGAACTTGATTTTGTTGTGAAGAAGAAAAAGTGTAGCTAAAGGTCATTTCACTTAGGGTTACAAAGATATTGTTTTGAAGAGACACAGGCAGGCAGTTTCGCAATGAAAGACATTGAAAGACTGCAGAGAGAGTGAGATCTTCAGAAAGTAGAGATATATTTTAGTACTTAGAAATGTGAAAGTAGGATGAAAAGTATAGCGCTAAGGAGCTTAAGGCATATTGAAAGAGAATAAGAGAAACTGGACTATAAAAGATTAAATGAGGATTTTTCATGTCAGGAAAAAATATTTTTGCTTTGTTTATTTTTCCACCAATATATGCCGTTTGAAATAAAAATTCCACATGAACATGTAAAAAAAAAACCCCAAACTTTCAAGAATATGATCTAACCAAAATATCTGAGGTAAAGATAAAATTGTATTTAACTCAGCCGTGCCTAGAAATATATTGCAGTATTCTTTTACAAGTTATTCAACAAATTGTGTTACTTTTTCAATCATATTGTTGCTTATTCCAGCAAGTCTTATCTTACTGTCCAGCGTTTCAGTCTTTAGCATTTCGGATGAAGATTGTATTAAACAATTTTTCTTCTATGGTGTGAAATGTAATGCCACAATTTACTGCTTGAAAATAATCACTCTTACCAGTTTACTAATCTGAAAAACACAGAAGTGTATCTATGTGTATGTTTGTCTAAAGCAGTTTCATTGGTTATTATTTCATAGAAGTGTATACGATACTTACGTTAACCAATATTTGTCACAGTGAAAAAACTGTTTTTCTAATAGTTTAGGAATGAGTAGGAGAAGTCTCTACCAAGTTTCAAAATTTCATAGCCCTATTTCAAAAAGTATTATGCATCCATATCCTCTGGGGTAGGTTGACCCTAGTAGGCAGCTCAGCCGTTTGCTCACTTCCTGCCAGTGGAATCGGGGAGAGAATCAGAAGAGTAAAATGAGAAAACTTGTGATAAAGACAAGTAAAGACAGTTTAGTAGGTAAAACAAAAGCTGTGCACTCAAGCAGAGGAAAACAGGAATTCATTCAATACTTCCCATCGGCAGGCAGGTGTTTAGCCGTCTCCGGGAAAGCAGGGCTCCATCCCATGCAACAGTTACTTGGGCAAACACCATAACTCCAAATGTCCCCCTTTCCTCCTTCTCTCTCACAGCTTTTTTTATTCAGAACATGATGTCATATGGTCTGGAATATCCCTTTGCTCAGCTGGCGTCAGCTGTCCTAGCTCTGTCCCCTTCTAACTTCTTGTGCACCCCCAACCTAGTCGCTGGTGGGGCAGCATGAGAAACAGAAAACACATTGACGCTATGTACATACTTTTCACCAATAGCCAAAACATTGATGTGTTATCAGCATTGTTTTGGTCACAAGTCCAAAACACAGCGCCTTACCACTTCATACTACTGTGAAGAAAATTAACTCTATCCTAGCCAAAACCAGTATGTCCTCTTTGAAATCCTTTCTTGAAATACAGCTCTTCAATAAAGACATATGAATCCCTTTCAAAAAGAAATATTGATAATTGGTGATAGTTGTGAATTAGTAATAAATACACAGTTAGGGAATTAACATTATATTTTTCTAAAATGACTGAGGTACATGTGAGCATTTGATTTTGAAGATGCACACACATGTATACCATAGGTAATGGGTGTGTAAGGAAACAATCATGATCTGATCAGTTGAATCACAACTAGGTTTTATTTTATTACTCTTTTTGAAGAAATTTTACAAAGTTCACAACAAGCCAAACACCATGTATCTCAACTGGAACTCTTATCATGATAGTCCCATAGTATATAATTGATAAATGTGCATTGCTATGTTTTAATCCATACAGGTCCTTTCCTTTAGTTTTAACTGTAAGCTAGGAACTTGTTACTCAGGGTTCTGAGAGAAATGCTAAACAAATAAACTTGAGGAGATAGCTGGAAAAATATGATGTCCCAGCATCCAGTTACAAAGCATAAAGGAGCAAGAAAACGGGAAAGGAGAAGCTAATTCTGGGTTGGAATAGGTCTGTTTGGCTCCAGCAGCTGCTTTCCACGGTTGGAGTAGGAAAAGTTCCTGCTTTCTAGAGTGAAGCAATATGAAGTTAAGTAGCAATCTTCAAAGAAAGCTGAGATACTCTACTGACTTTGGAGAACCCATGTTGTTTGAGTTAATACTTATTTTTGCTTGATCTATGAAGTTTTGTTCCATTACTTTGTCTCCAATGAAAAAATGATAGGTTTATCTGAAATTTGTGCAAACATAACTCTGGGTGATCTTTTGCAATACAGTAACCTTCCTGAAGGTAGGATTGTTAAAACTAGGGTACTGGAGTGCATTCATGAAAATGAGAATTCTGATGCACTACTTCAGGAAATCTTAAGGGTAATTCAGTGTGTTCTATTTGAGTACACATCAGCTGGTTATCTAAAAATGCAGGGACTTGAAAAGATAAATAGTTCTCTGGTGGACTGCACTTCAAACTTCCAGGAAGATAGAAGACCGTAATTGTCTGTGTTTTAAACTGTTTGTCTCTTGCTTCATTAGATTATTTACCTCCATGCTTTTAGCCAAAACTGTGAAGATCTTACTGAAGTAGAGCTTTGCTAAAGCAAATCCTTTCCTCCCAGTACTTAAATTTTCGTATGTTCCTCTTTGCTCATTTTCAGATCTTGCATTTTGAAGAAAGTCAATACGTAAACAACAAACTTAATTAGAAATTTACTTTGAAGTATATTGCTATATTTACTATCAATACTCTGGTAGGTTTTTTGCCTGGCTAAGACCAAATTCCCCATGTTGTACATGCTATACAGACACACAATCAAAAAAGCATTCTGACCTGTAGGTTTATAGTTACAAGCTAAAGCACTCCCCAGTCCTGTTTAAAATATGAGTAACATTACAGCTGATTTCAATAGGAGCATGGGTACTGGGAACTTTCTAAAGCATAATAGACATGTTACGATTTGTACCCTAATTTCTCCCAGAAGAGTTAAATAATCCCTAAAGGACAAAACTCAGCTAAATTATTAATTTTCTTCCTTGAAACAGACTGGTGGATTCTGAGAAAATTACGACAATACTGCACAGTCTAATGCTGTGACTGCTGAAGATCTGCTTCAGCCATCTTCCTTCAGTAGTCAGTTCACCTTTCCTAGTTTCTAAGTCTCTTTGAGAAGAGACTTGAGTGCTTGAATAGTTGATAAAGAAAGATGGTGTTTTCTTTGAAAAGTATTAACATCCAAAGAAATTTAATAACATTATTATTATTCCTAAAATAATTTTTGTTCCTTCTTACAGAAGTTGGAGTAGGGAATATTCAGATCTCTTTTTGATCCTGTATTGATTTGGTTTCTTGAGTCCTAACTTAAGTTATGCCTCTTATTGGAGGTCAAATGGAAAGTTCCTAAGCATCAGAATGAGAGCAGTACCAACATAGTTTCTAGATGTCTCTTCTTTTTTAAATTTATAGGTTTTGATTAGAGAAGATGTACCAAATTAAATCTCTGCCCAGACACTTTGAATTCTACCCACAGAGTAGGTCTTACTAGGTACACTCTGAAAGAATCACACTTCTGTCTAGTCTTCTAGAAGAAAGAATTTTAGGATTCATTATTGTGGAAAAAGCTGTAATTAATCCTGGCCAGCTTATGCAGTTGTGACATATTTCTGTTTAGTTTATTTGTTGTCCACCCAGTTTCATTTAACTGCAGTGACAGTTTATAAATGACTTTGCTACAGGATGAGATAAATCTGATTTGTAATAGATATGTTTGAAATTGTTTGCAAATTACAGTACTGCCTTCCTCACTCTCAATTATTTTACTGAAGAGTATAATTGTAACCAGAGCAATCCCAGCAATGTGTTTTCTTAGTGTTAAATTTCTCATAAAATTAGAGGTATCATCTTGGAAAATTTATTGTTCCCATCAATGAAATGACTTTATGAACTCTGCCTCTGGCTTTTATTTCAGTCAAGGACACTGCATGCTGTTTCTGATCACTGCATGTAACTCCGCTGCCCTGGGGAGGGGAGAAGGTTTCTTGCTAGGAGAGGCTGTTGTAACCCTCACTTTCGTTTTGACTTGGTTGTTTTTATTTGAACATCTTTTACTTGTCAGAGTCTTGATGACTGAATTATGGCACAGTTTATGAGTATCCAGAAGTGATTTATTACGAACATGTTGCATCCCCAACGCAGTAAGTGGGTTAATGTCTGGTCTGGTAGCTGTCAGTCACGCCAAGAGTATCAACCTCCATCATTCCTTGGAACAAGTTGGTTCATGGTCTTGCCAAGCTGCCATCTGCCTCCTCTGCGCTTCTTCTGTAGCTTTTATATCTTGGAGCATCTCTGTGCTTTCTCCCACCCCTGCCTTAATTTTGATCTTGAGGATTTCACTTTGTTTTTTAAACTGCTGCTAACATCTCTATATTACCTCTCTGTTTCCACTTTCTTATCTTACATTGTTTAGTAGTCTTTGTGCTCTCTCCTCATTTCTTCCAGCAATAAACCCACACTTCTCAGCAAAATAGGGTGCTGTAAATGCTGTACACCACTCCTCCATGAGAGAATAACCCATTTGTGGCATGGTGTTGTATAACTGCAGCACTCATAAGGCATTTGAATATGATAATACAGTTAAATAAAAATATTATACGGAATATTATAAAAAAAATACTGAAATTTGGAAAGCATTCCTTACAGTCAAACTCAGATGTGTTTTGTTTATACAAGAGAAGGTGAAGGGATGACTTGGTTGTGAGAATAAATTTCTGGTGAGATAGCTGTTTTGTTTGATGGAAGAAGTTATAAGAAGATCTTGTAAATGAAAGCTAAAATGAAACAATTATAGACAAGATGATTTTTTTTTTTTAAAACAGAACATTTGAACAACTGCCCTTCCCTTCATTTGCTTCTTGTCTAATAAACTGCAGTTTCTTTCAGAAATTTCTTACAGAAAGAATTTCTTACAGAAATTTATGTTTGAGGAACATGTGGTTAGACAGTAACTAACTGTTGTACAATTTGTGTCTAGAGGAAATTACAAATAATAAATAGAGCTAAATGACATTAAAAGGAGTTTTTGCATTCATTTGATTGAGGCCTGACTCATCATCCGCAGAAAACTAAATTAAATATAAAACCCACCAGTGCCACTGTAATCACGGAAGCAAAATCCTAAGTCAGTTGACAAGGAAGTCAATACTAGTTGGCATTAAGTTCAGAGGAATTATCCCTGGATTAGGCACCATGTGGTAAGTTTGAAGTCTAATGCAATAGTCAGAAGAATCTCATTGCTCTTTAAGCTGTCCACTTGCTACTGAGGTATTGTCTACTTCTGGTTTTCTGTTTGACTAGAAAACTATTTCCTGAGCATTATTTTAGAAGAACTATTTTTTTGAGTGTTACAGAATACCAAATTTTTAACTTTTTTAACTTCTGAGAACATGAAAGATATCTTTTGTGGAGAAAGACTTGCACTCTCTTCAGGTCACGAAGAGGAGAAGGCATTCTCTGTACAGAATTGATTGCCCTGCTTATAATAATTTGAAAAAATTGTTAAACGTTGATATGTAAGGAAGCTTGATCATTACGCATATGTCAAAAATCAGTAATTGTGAAATACGTGCTTTTTTGAAGATCTGAAATGTGAACAACTCATTTTTCTGGTTCCTTATTGTGATGTAAATGATGAAATCTCTTTGCTCTATTCTTTCCATTTAAACAGGCATGTATGTGTTCCCTTAACATTTTTGCAGGTGTCAGTCGGTGACTCTTGCTATCCTTTCTTATATATGTCTTTAAAAAGCTGCTTGTTATTGCATGATAAATGTAATTGGAGGAAAGAGAAGTTCCATATAATTCAATTTTTTGTGTGTTTTAGGGAAGCTGGGAGAAGCGAATTCTAAAAAGTCTAAACAGCATGTGCACAGAACTCGGTATTCCACTAGCGCAGAAGGTAACCTATTATTAACTTTCTGTTGCCAAACTGACATTTTTTGGAAATTGAGCCTTGTCTTGCACACCTGTAATGTAATGTTCATTTTACACATGGTTATCAAGAGCTGCAAGGCTGGTATCCAAATAATTTTAATACAGAATGATTTTCAAGTATAGTGGCAGTGTATGCATCAGCTCAACTTGGGAGACGATGAAGTCCGTAAGTAGATCTTCCTCTTTGCTGTTGCAGTAATGATCCTCTTGAGGAACCAGCATGTTGGAAAGCTAATTGCTCTGTTCATCACTCTTAATAGAGCGTTTTTGTGTACAGACTCAGCTGTATAGCTTCTAGCTGCATAGCCGGTACAGAATATAGATACACTTTGTGTGCTGGAGAAAGCTGTAGTTGAACTGGTACTTTAAGAGAGAGATATACCGGTACATTGCTAATTTTGCTTGTCATTCATTCTGGTCTGTTTTGTTTTCAGTTTTTTATTAATTTAGAGGCTTTAATTTTAAAGATCATGGAATTGGAGAATAATGTTAGAGTGTTTTGTTCTTTATCTTTCTCCTGTTGTATATCTGCTAGGTAGCAGAAACTCTATGGTTCATTATATGAGAGAAAGGATGCAGCTGTGTTTTGCTTTTCATGACTGTGCCAGGGACAGGAATTTGATGACAAAGTCCAACAGCTCTATGGAACGAGCAGTAAATCTTCAGTAATGTGAAACTGACTACTAAATAGCCTAAAATTCATTAGTAAACACATGAAACTACTTAATGGGCTCCTTTTCTCCTTGAACTGGAACTTGGACTGGCTACAGGAGAATATACCTTCAGGCTGGGAATAATTTGTAAGCAAAATAAGTTTGTGTTGCTAGTGCAATCTGTTTTTTTAAAGTGTTACATTAATTTATGTATTTGAAATAGGCATGGTTTTACTCATTCTGTTAAAAAAAGACTTACTTTCTTGTGCCTTTCAGAGGCCTATAAGTGAACAGAAAGAACTGCTTAATAAATGGAATGAAATGGGAACTGATGACCCAGGTAAAGTCAATTAAATTTATATGCACTAAATTTTTGTACATAGAAAAATAGCATATACATCTTATTTACCAGTCAAATAAGCTCAGGCTCATAGAAAGAAAATGTTCAGAACTATGGATAATTAAGCTCAAATGTTATATTAACAGAAGTTTAAGAATAACGCTTGCACAGAATAGTCAGTCATATATCCTTTGGGAGAGCAAGGCTAACTGCCTTGTTAGTTCATAGCTAAGTTCCTTAAAAGAAATGATTTTGCAAAGGTACTAGTTTGTATTGCAGTACCACCTCTGCAATGGCAAACACTTTTCATGGATTGTTTATGACTAGTCCCAATTTTTTATTTGACAGCAGTATGTTTAATTCAACAATCTATGCTGTTAAACCCCCCCGCTTTTGAATATCATATCTCTCCCATGTCTAATAATGGTTCAATCTAAAGACTTATGTGGAATAAGTAAAAACTACCTGTGACTACTGTTCACTTACTTGGGGTTTGCAAAACTGAGGCACTAACAGTTGCATGATCTTGGAGAATATGTGGTGGTTGTAGCCATGATATCTGTGATAATATTATTTTAATCTTTGCTCTAGTATGTTATCGAAATTTCTAGAATGTGTTACAGGTATGGGAAAATTGCATGTTTTTTTAATCTCTTGCTTTTAACATAGCATCATTGAAATCTTATTTCAGATCTAAGTCTCTTCCGGCCTGTTTATGCACCTAAAGATTTTCTTGAGGTAAGCATTTATGAAATATTATCCATTGACTTGGATCCATTATAGTCTTTTTCTGTGAAGTGGGAAAAATAATAGTTAAGTGTATTTCAATTTGTCCTTTATAGCAAGTGAAATTTGGCATGTTTTTTACGACTCCATATTTTGTTTACAAAACAAAATGTTATTGTCTCTTTTTTTAACTGCAGTTTTAAATGGTACTTGTGATAAACTTCCCTTTCTCCAAAGAACAGTTTGGAGCTAACTTTTTTTCCTCTGAAAGCAATTCTCCAGCTCATTTCATAATCATTTTACATTTCAAGTTGCAACGCGTTAAGCTGATAAATTGCAGTATGCGAAACTGATGGACTGTTTGGTGGTAGATAGTAGACCTATATGCAGTTGAAATTGTAAGTCATCTGTGAGGACTGTGAAAAATCAAAAATGAAACAGAACTATGTGGAATTTGGAGGCTTTTGTCTATAATCAAACCAAACTCAAAAAAAATGGTGACTGCTGAATCTTTAAAGTCAGGAATGACAGTATTACTTCTCATTTTGTATGGTTCAAGCACAGAATATCTTAGTAAAACAGAACTTGCTTTACCAGCTATGGCTAGAATAGGCATGGACAACGGACAATAAACATTGTTGATGATAGTGGACTTAATGGTGACACAGTAGGAGATTTTGGATTAAAATATAATTGAAAATAAAATTTAAAAAATCAGTATCTGTATATCCTGTGAGTTATACAGGAAACAAATCATCCAGAGCATGACAACAGTGTAGAATTATAGAGTTAAGGTGGCCTCCTAATTTACAGAATAAAACTTAGAAGTCTCATACTGAATTATCAGTCAGAATTAATGCATTAATATTTTGGTTTTCAAGTTTAGTGGAATGTCTTTTGTAGCAATAGAGGAGATTTATAGTGTTTCTGACTTAAGTGTAAATTGTTTTATGGTCAAAAATTGTCAATGCATTTCTGAATCCAACAATAAACTTCCTATCCATTTTATTACAGTTTTAAAGAGCTGCTCTTATTCAGTTAGTGATAATAATATTGGAAGTTTTTAATTTATTCTGTTTTCCATCACTATACTAACAGCCAAGTTGTGTATTTGATTTTGAATGTGTAAACAAATCCATCTTCACTTTAGCCTTATCCAGTGATCCTCATGGTCACTCTCTTTTTCTTTTATACTGTTTTCTTTCCAGAGTTTGCAGTTTCTTGCATTAATCTTTTAATTTACAAGTCTGAGAGTGAGGTTATATGGTATTGGAATACTTACACAACTGAAAAATGTAGAGGTAGGATGTTATGGAAGAATTTCATAAGAGCTGGAAACTCTTCTTAGAAAGAATCCTTGCCAGCTCAGCATTATAATATCAAAATCTGTATCTATGGAATAACAGTATGTAAGAGACTGTAAATTCCTATATAGATCACAATTACTTATCTTGCATTATGATTCATTGTCCCTTAAATTTTATCCTTACTTAGGGTTTTAAATTCTGTAATTTTATATTTTCTTAAGCAAAAGAAAATATTTTTGTGTATTGTTATTTTGTAAGAAGTTATTTTAGTAGCCAATTATGTAGAACTTTGATTGAAAGCTACATAAAATTGCCAGTATAAGAATATGGATAAAAATTCTTCCATAAAAAAGTAATACTGAAGAATATCCTGGGTATTGTACCCATCAGAAATATACTCTTGGCATTCAAATAGCTTTGAGGAAGTCAAATTTAGTCAAGACATTACAATGTAGTCAGCACTTAATCAAAAATTATTTCTGCTTTTTTATTTCATAACTTGAGTTTACTTTTCAAAGTAGAATATGTTTGCTTACTTAAAAATTTGGCACCTTTTTATTTTGAAAATGTTGAGATATAATTTGATAATGTGGGCTTATATATGTGATAGTTGCAGGAAATGGTTTTATGCTGAATGTACTGTTTGTAATACTGATGATGTTAAGAATTCTGAATGTAAATTTCTGAATATACACAAGGAGTTACAGAGCTACCATTTTTAAGGTACTGATGAATCTTCGAAACCCAAATTATGAAAATGGAGAACAGCCTAGTTAACGTAAATTTCTGAATATACACAAGGAGTTACAGAGCTACCATTTTTAAGGTACTGATGAATCTTCGAAACCCAAATTATGAAAATGGAGAACAGCCTAGTTTCAGAAATCATCTGGGACTGATTCAGGTTCCTCTAAAAGTTAAGGATATTCCAGAATTGGTAAGTATATTTTTTTCTTACAGAAATCTCTCATAAGAATTATTTTGCCTTGCTAATGAATAAGATTCTAAACAATAAGAAAGAATATTAGTGTCTTGAAATGAAAAGTTTCTCATTTCAAGAGTGAAAATCAATCTAAATATGTAGTTAAAACACTGAGCATAAAAAAGTTTTATGAAAAGACAGTTTTAATGAAAAGTAAATCATAAACAGGAATTTATCTGCCAGTAGGAAAGTTTTAATTTTATGTCACACAGGTTTGATTTGTGCTAAAAATATACTTCTGTACATGTTACTCTCTCTTTTTCTGTACAAGAAACTTTAAATATGTAGTTTATCTTAATTCTACAGTTTTATTTGACACTGTACAAGATCAGTAACCTGACAATCAGCTTCTGATTTTCTTCTCAAAGTAATTTTAAATCCTTTTATTGTCAGATTGCAAATGAGAGGAAATGCTTGGATACTAGTGTTGTCCCAAATATGGGTTCTTCCACCTGGTGTGTAGAGAGCCGAGATATTTGCTTTTATTCCAAATCTGCGCAGAGTTGGGTGCTAGGTGGTAGGTCCACAAAGCTAGCACGCCTCAGTTAACAGAGAATATTTATACACTTAGAGCAACAGTTACCAGTATTTTTTAAAAGTTGGCTCTGTTACCGTTGTTCCCGTTGGTGCTCACAAGCCTCATCTCCACTTAAAGTCACAGCATCCTCCTTTCCTAGGCATGCTCTGTGAGGAAGAGGCTTTTGTGAGGAGGGGGCTTTCCCCGCCCAGGGGGAGGTTTCTATTATGCCAATTATATGTTAATTAGCTGTTGATTAGGATAGTTCACTCAAGGTTCTGTAGTTGTGTTCCTTTTGTGATTTTCTTGTTCCTTCCCTCAAGGTTGCACCTTGTTAACCACTCACAGAGACTAAACAGTACCCCCAGCTTAATTCCTTGCATACCTTCAACACTAGTATTATAACTGGAAAATATGAGAGCTCCTCTTAATGCTTCACCGATAAGGCTCTTGAAGATTTTATGCTAGTAGAAAAACTTGCACCTGGGTTGGAAAAGAGCTGGGAATTAGAGGTCCTTAACCTGATCTTTCTTTCACCTTATTACAATTCAGGTGTAGCTCATAGATGACATGAAAACTGGGGCCTATAAGTAAAACTAGAGTAAGAATTGATGTGAGATTCTTCTCTTTAAAAACCTATATTTTATATGCATGCATTTAAAAGAACTACATTTGGTTTAGAAAATAGTCACATTAAGCCTTTCAGAAGAAATCTCTAGTGATTTAGAGAATTAAACAGCGTTAATTACTGCTTTATGGTTTTGTTTCTTTTTCAGAAAGAAGACTTCAGTGAACTAGGCTTAAATATAGGACAGCTGGGTATTGATGATTCAGCACAAGTGCCTCCTGGTTAGCTACTGCTGTTTTTCAGTCATTTAAAATAGAACTCTAATGAGTTGAATACTTCGCAATTACCAAGTAATTTGTATATATTTTCCACAGTGAACCATAAATATTTGATTACAGTGGTTTTTCTTAATAAAATATAGCTAATAACATAGAAAACATTGCAAGGTGTCATGAAGGTCAGATTTGGAGAATATTTAAAATCATCACCTTAAGTTGAAAATATGTCAATTTCTGTGTGTTTGAACACTTCAGGATCTGGAGAACAAAATTACCTGTCTTATTATCAATAAATGTTAAGCCAGCTAACAGATAGGCATATATACAAACATCTTTTAAGTAACTGTCTTTAAGAAAAATTACATAAAATATCCATACATTAATATTCAGTATCTTAAATAGTGCATAATTTCTGTTGGTTTTCCATGTATGCATTTATTGATGTAAAAACAGGTTTTAAAATGGTCTTTCCGTATAAAAGTGGAAAACACTATAGCATCAAGTGATTTTTGTTTTTAAATCAAAACTTACCTAATTGAAAGTCTAGGTTCATGTAGTGTAGTGCTGCTTTGGTATTTGTGTCCTTCAGACAAGAAAAAATTCTGTAGTATTATTTTTTTCTTAGTTTTTTAAAAAGAACATTGATGCTGATGCAGGTTAATTTTTAGTGAAATTAGCAATAAGAATTAGCTGAATGTAATGGTGTGTAGTAAAAATATAAAATACATTACTAGCTGGAGTATCTTTTTTTATTTAATTTTTGCCATTCTTTTCTATTTCTTTATTTTCTAGAGTTCTTTGAAAATGAACATATACGTGTTGGACAGAAAGGTATGGATCTGTTTTCATCTGTAATAAACTGTGAGTAGTTAGATAGGAATGCATTTAGTAAATTTCTATCTCAATTATATGTACGTCTTAGAATTTTAAGAATTTAGACAGACTAACACAAAGCATTGTCAGTAATACCACTGTAATTTAGACAGAGACAGTAATACCATTGTAATTCAGACAGAGACAGAAAAACAAGCATTTGCAGTCTACCAGATAAATAGCTCCGCCAATATTTCATTAAAAATGAAATAGGAAGCATAGAGACATAACTTTTTGGTGATAACTTAACTTATGCCACTACTGAATTTCATTTCAAAATCAAAAGACTCTGGACTCCCTTCTCTGCACACACAGTTCTCATTAGTGTAACGGGATTTATGTCTGTGCGTCAGAACAGTCTTTTTAATGGTTATTTGCAGTTGCAGAACTCGCTAAATATTGCAATACTTAGCCACTATGGAAAATGCACTCATTTATCTCTGTGTACTGCTTTTTCTGAAGAAGTTCGGGGGGGGGAGGGATTGTAGCTTAAGAAAAAACCTACAAAAGAAAGGGAAAGATAAAGGAAATAATTTATTAGCTGAAGTTTGCTTATAGAAGAAACATACAAGGAATGTTTGAAATCCATCAATATCTGCTCCTTACTCTCTCTTGTGATTCCTGCTAAACATTATCACCATCAAAGAAAATACCAGAGTGGTTACCATCCCAAAAGTCTTCCATCCCTTTTTTTTTGTTGTAGTAACAAAACAGTGACCTTTTCTTCTTATGTCTCCTTTTGCAGTCCTCTTTCTATCCCTCATCATATGTTTTCTGGTCCAAGAGTGGACCAGAATCAATATGTATAACGAGTTTCATAAATGAGGAGGG